CCAGAGCATATCCCTCTACAGTGTGTGCTTATCTCAGTCCAGAGCATATCCCTCTACAGTGTGTGCTTATCTCAGTCCAGAGCATATCCCTCTACAGTGTGCTTATCTCAGTCCAGAGCATATCCCTCTACAGTGTGTGCTTATCTCAGTCCAGAGCATATCCCTCTATAGTGTGTGCTTATCTCAGTCCAGAGCATATCCCTCTATAGTGTGTGCTTATCTCAGTCCAGAGCATATCCCTCTATAGTGTGTGATTATCTCAGTCCAGAGTATATCCCTCTACAGTGTGTGCTTATCTCAGTCCAGAGCATATCCCTCTACAGTGTGTGCTTATCTCAGTCCAGAGCATATTCCTCTAAAAAGAAATACCCAAATTAGTTTATAACCAAAAATTATAATTTTTCAAAATTTATTTTTTACATTTTTATTTTTTTTTTGTATTATTTGTTTTTTTTTTTATTAACATACTGTCACCCTAGCAGTACAGTGTCACCATAGTGACACTGTACTACTTGTGGGGGGTGATGATTTTTTTTTCTTTTTTTACACTGATTGCTTTTACACCCATAAAGGCTGTAAAAGCAATCATTTCTCCTTCTCTCTGGCTGCATTCCTGATTGGTCACAGCTTGTCACATGGTACAAGGCTGTTGTGAATAGCCTTGTACCATGTGACCGCTGTGATCATTCACAGATTTCACACATAGTAAGCAATGATGTCAGAAGTGACATCTTGCTTACTACTATTTATGTGATCACTGATTGGCCAATCTGTAAATGGGGGGGCTGTTTATAAACGGCAACCTGCTCCTTCACTGCCGCCGTCCAGCCGTTTATGTACATGGGCCGGATGGGAAGTGGTTAATGCATTATCTACATGAAGTTATAAACCCCCAGTAGCTGTCCTGGTACCCCCATCCCTAAACACTTGGCTCCTGTCACTGCTCCTCTCACGTCCTGGTCTCCCAGAAAACACAGAGGGCAGTGGGAGCCATTGCTGCTGTCGGTCAAACTACTGTGAGGAGGGATCGAGGGCGTGGCTTACAGGTGCTGTGTGTGCATATGTCCGCACACAGTGTGGCTCATGAGCACGCATGCATGGGTACCTGCATCGCACCCAGCTTACTAAAGAGGCACTTGAAGCAGGAAGAAGGTAAGATAGGGGACTGCCAGAAAATCAGATGATGGTGCTTTCTGTGCAAAATCATTGTACAGAGCAGATATATATGACCTCTTTATTTTATTTAAAAAGTAAAAAATTTACTTTACTGTCACTTTAAAGAGGAACACCCTCTCTAAGTAAAATTAGATTTTATCTTTCTAATATTTGTCCTATAGATAAAAACATAATTAATGGCCCATGGAGTCCAGCCTTGTCTTCCTTGCAGTTGTAGTTCTACTGGTGGCGCCGGCCTGCTTCTGGACTGCCCCCTGGGCGATTGCGATTCTGCCCGTGATCCCAAAACACAAGGAAAAACTGACAAATCGCACCACACTTGTTCAGGTGCCTTTCATTTTCCATGGTGTGTAAATTCAGGTGCGGTTCTGTTGCGATCGTCGCAGGATAAATTGTGGCAAATTGCATTGCACGAAGCTTGCCAGCCAAAAGAAGCTCCTCCTTTTTTTTAAGCGACAAGCTTTCCGCGATGTCGTTTGCCGCAATTGCAGCGTGAATTTTCGTATGACAATCAGAACAGAGCCGCACCCACATTTATATGCCATTGAAAATGAAGGCACCCGAACAAGCTTTGCGCGATGTCTTTTGCTGCAATTGCAGCGCGATTTATTGCCGCAATTGCAGCGTGATCTATCGCATGACAATCAGAACAGAGCCGCACCGGCATTTACATGCCACTGAAAATGAAGGCACCCGAACCAGCTTTGTGCAATGTCGTTTGCTGCAATTGCAGCGTGATTTATTTCTGCAATTGCAGCACAATTTATTGAAGGACAATCAGAACAGAGCTGCACCCACATTTACATGCCATTGAAAATGAAGGCACCCGAACAAGCTTTGCGCGATGTCTTTTGCTGCAATTGCAGCGCGATTTATTGCCGCAATTGCAGCGTGATCTTTCGTATGACGATCAGAACAGAGCCGCACCGGCATTTACATGCCATTGGAAATGAAGGTACCCGAACAAGCTTTGCGTGATGTCTTTTGCTGCAATTGCAGTGTGATTTATCACATGACAATCAGAGCAGCGCCGCACCCACATTTACATGCCATTGAAAATGAATGGCACCCGAACCAGCTTTGTGCAATGTCGTTTGCTGCAATTGCAGCGTGATTTATTTCTGCAATTGCAGCACAATTTATTGTAGGACAATCAGAACAGAGCTGCACCCACATTTACATGCCATTGAAAATGAAGGCACCCGAACAAGCTTTGCGCGATGTCTTTTGCTGCAATTGCAGCGCGATTTATTGCCGCAATTGCAGCGTGATCTTTCGTATGACGATCAGAACAGAGCCGCACCGGCATTTACATGCCATTGGAAATGAAGGTACCCGAACAAGCTTTGCGTGATGTCTTTTGCTGCAATTGCAGTGTGATTTATCACATGACAATCAGAACAGAGCCGCACCCACATTTACATGCCATTGACAATGAATGGCACCCGAACCAGCTTTGTGCAATGTCGTTTGCTGCAATTGCAGCGTGATTTATTTCTACAATTGCAGCGCAATTTATTGTAGGACAATCAGAACAGAGCTGCACCCACATTTACATGCCATTGACAATGAATGGTACCCGAACAAGCTTTGCACGATGTCTCTTGCTGCAATTGCAGCACAATTTATTGCCGCAATTGCAGTGTGATCTATTGTATGACAATCAGAACAGAGACGCACCCGCATTTACATGCCATTGACAATGAATGCCACCCGAACAAGCGCGGCGCGATTTGTCAGTTTTGCAGAGCGTATTGGGATTGCGGTGATTGTGCTCAGAATCGCATAATGCCCAAGTGTGAACGGGGCCCCAAAAGTCCTCTTCTTGGTGTTGATCCCAAGCATGCGCAGGTCTCTGCCAGGTCCTTGTCACCCACTTTACAAGCAGAATGAAAATGTGCGCAACATCAGGATGATCGGGTGAAAACAGACAACACGAGAGTGAAGGACTAAAGTCCTGGGTGGAGTTTTCTTGTTGGACTGGAGTGCCCCTTTAAATATAGCATTCCGCGGACTTGGGCACCCACTCCTCGGTGTTTTCAATCAGGGCTGTACCACTCACCAGCATAGGTGACTTACGTATTCCTAGCGACCTCCTGCCCTCCCCTCTCTTAAATTCATGTTCTCCAAACAGCTTAATGAGGGGTTTACTGGTCCAATTGGAAGTTTTTATTAAAACCCATTAGTGCACTGAAGCAGTCCGCCTGAAGGAAGCAATTAGTGAAAAGTAAGTGAGTTTGGAGATTTCCCCAGTTGTAGCAGGAAAAAAAAATCCTATGCTCCCCCCCCCCCCTCCCTCCATGTTCCCCTTAAACTGTTCCAGACTGATTCCATGTTCCATTACAAGAAGCTGGCAGCTTCACATGGAGGTCCTCCATGTCTCCGGCAATATAAACCGTCTGTACAGAGCCAGTTCACATCGATCTTACAGAGGAACTCTTGCGCGGTGTTAGAATGACACTAATGTAGTCGTCGTATTTGGGAAGTTTTTTGCTTTTGCTCTAGCTTTCTAGCTGAGCTCCAGGCACATGCAATAAATCTCCATGAAGTCCAGTTATATTTTCCACAAAGAATAAGTAATTAATTGTATTTTTTAAATACAGCTGGTATAAGTACCTGCTTCTGGCTTTTTATTCGCTTCCTGCAATGCCCTGCAAAGTGGGACTTAAGGCCAGGTTCACACCTATGCAGGTTGCGTTTGATCCATTTCTGCATTGCAGTTTGAATTGTGTTTTTCCTGCATTTTTGATACATTTGCGTTTATTTTGTTTTTTACATTTTTCTTGTTGCTAGGCAGATTTAAAACACAGCAAAAATGCAATACGTGCTTTTGTGCAGCATTTTCCATTTTCTATAGAACCAAAAATGCATCTTTTTGCGTTAAAAAAAAGTCCCTGACCCATTCCAAAAAAACGCACTGGGTGAAAACACGGAGATGTGAACATGTCTCATAGGAAATCATGTTAAATGGACTGCACTGCGATTCTGCAAAAGGCTGCAGAAAACGCTTAGGTGTGAATCTACGGTTAGACTTGGGTGGGCAGCAGTTGGAACATTTTAGGTTTCCCAGCATAGCATGGTATTGACAAAAGAAGCTTGCTGACAGGGGGAGAGGGCATAGAGAACAGAGGAAAGAAAGTGTTGATCTCAGCAGTATGAGATGTTCCTTCACTGGCCAATTAACCACTTGCCCCCCAGAGGATTTATCCCCTTTCCTGACCAGGCCATTTTTTTTGCGGTATGGTGCTGCGTTATTTAACTGACAATTGCGCGGTCTTGCAGTGCTGTACATAACTAAAGTTTATGTCCTTTTTTCCCACAAATAGAGCTTTCTTTTGGTGGTATTTGATCACCTGTGCGGTTTTTATTTTGTGCAGTATAAACAAAAACACACTGACAATTTTGAAAAAAAACACTATTTTTTACTTTTGGCTATAAAACATGTCCAATAAAAAATTTTTTTAAATCGTCATAAATTTAGGCCAAAATGTATTCTGCTCCATGTCAAAAATATTCCAATACGTGTCATTTAATTGGTTTACGTGAAAGTTATAGCGTCTACAAATGGCGGTATAGATGCTAGAATTTTTATTTTTGTTTTATACTAGTAATGGCGGCGATCAGTGACTTATAGCGGGACTGCGACGGGTATTTTGACACTGGGTGGGAACTGACTAACTGCCACTGACCTCTCCAGTGACACTAATATAGTGATCAGTGCTAATAATAAAGCACTGACACTGTACTAATGGCACTGGGCAGGAAGGGGTTAACATCTGGGGCGATCAAAGGGTTTACTGTGTGCTGCTGTGTGTGTTTCACATTATGTGCTGTGTGTGTTTTTTACAACAGAGAGACATGCTGCTTTGTATTTCTCTGCTGTGCTGAGACATACACAGCAGCATGTCCTTGCTGATAGGAGGGAGACCTGTCAAAGGTCTCTCCCCTGTCAGCTTTCCCCGACTATCACCAAGTGTCGGCAGGGAATCGCCAGCCGGGACCCAGTGATTGACATCTTCAGACGCCAATAGCGGCATGGGTAGGGCCGAACGCGCACCCCCTACCCGGAAATGCAAATCATGCATATATACGTGATTTTTGCGCAGCCTTGCCTCCCTGTAGCAGTACTTCTACTATAGGGTAGCGGGTTAATATGGTGTGGTTGATAATTGTACTTTAATGCTTAAAGAATGCCTCTTCCCTCTAAAGTTAAAAAGCCATGTCCATGCTGCTCTGCATGCCGAACTACGGATTCTTAAAGCAGAACTCCAGGCAAACATTTTCCACTGCATGTTTTTCTCACCTGACCCGCCGATCCTCTGGAATGGTGGACCATCGGTAGACTGTTCCTGTCTATGGAGTGTGCATTGAGCATGCTGACATCAGGAACAGTCCCACAGTACACACAACATGGAAATGCAATTATTTTAGTAAATATAAACTGCCTTTTCTCATCAGCAGTTAGAGCAGTCATGTGACTTCTATAAGTGTCCAGCAGAGCACTGGTTAAAGCTTGTAGGAGGAGTTTTCTTTCTGCTCTAGGAGGATGCAGAACCCCCACTCTCTGTCTGGACAGTGCTGATTGGCCCTGTGCTGATCACATGTACTCTCCCAAAAAAACAATGCATACTAAACTGAGCATGTGCAGCTTGCCCCCAAGACTCTGTTCTATCAGCAGATGGATTGGGACCTGTGGAAGAAGGGGAAGATCAGAGAAGACAGGATCAAACAGTCTTTTTACACAATGTGGAAGACTAACCCCTTAAGTTCCACAGTGAGTATAACAAACATGCTTTATTGCATATACAGACTGATTTTACTGTTGTAGGTTTAGTAACGCATACCCAGTGAAGTGACTGGCCTCAGATGATACACAGAGATTAAACAAATCCTCCTACATAAGTTGTACCTTTTTATCTAGCCTGTCTGTCCCCTACTTCCATTCAAAGTGCAGAATTTACACAGGATCTTTCAGCTTTGAAATACAGGGGGAGGAGAGCTCTGAGAGCTGATTGGAGAAAAGGGACACATTCCCCTTCACACAGCACAAAGGAAAATTGCTGAGGCTGTCAATCACAGACTATGCCCTCGCTTGTCTTAATATTTCTCTTGGTGTCAGGAAAACTCATCAGACGACTCATGCTGATAGCAGAGGAAAGAGACAGCAGACAGAAATGACACTCAGTGCTCTGGATTGAGACAAGTACACACCATAGAGAGATATGTTTTGTTCATATTTTGTGTCTGAGGTTTACAACCACTTTACCTTTAAGTACAGATGGTTTGATGGGAACTTGCCCCCTCCTTCCTCCTACATTGAGAGAGTTATTTTACTGATCACACAGCATGTAACATGATCTGTGAATGGAAGAAAATCTGATCAGTCACAAGATTCTCTCCCTGCTTCACAGACAGCGTTACAGGCAGCATAATCAATGAAAGAACTTTTCTGAATGGATAGGATGAAAGAGGAGAGTGTGCACTTATCAGATTATCTGTACTGCTATGAAGGTTTGGACATGATCCAGCTTAAGGAGACCAGCTTGATGTTACTATTCTTTTACTACAGGTTGATGATTTAAAAGTGCTTCACAGTAGTTATTCTTTAGGCTGGCCATACACTATACAATTTTCTTACAGCTTTCTGACCAATTGCTGCCCAATTTCCTTTAGGCACCATGTACACAGGACACTTCTAAATGATGGAAACTGATTGCTGGAAAACATAAATTAAAAAATGTCTGTTTAGCTGCGTTTGCATACCGTGTTTATGTGCGTTTGCGTTTAGAAGCGTTTTTTAAAGATAAGCACAGGAGAACCTCCCAAATGCCCAGAATGCACTGAAAAGTGGTAAATTATTAACTATTTCAGACTGTTTCAGAGAAATACAGAGAGTAGAAGCAGAGACAGCAGGATGTGTTGAGATAATTAGGTGTGAGTTGCTCATTAACATTTCTTTTGTTTCCAAGGGTGGGAAAGGTGTCTGGTGGAGGGAGTCATTAAGGCCACCTGGCAGGGGGTCTTCATGAGGAATTTGAGGTGTGAATGGTCATTAACATATCTATTGTTTCCAAGGGTGGGAGAGGTCTGAGGTGTGAATTGGTCATTACAATGTGTGACAAGCTTGGTAGGAACATCCTGTGTTCAGTGTTTTGTCCAGCTGAGTACCTTGAAAATGCTTTGCATGCATTTTTTATGATGGAAAAAAGGCTCTAGACAGCATCGGGAACTGGAAGAGTTAAAATAAATTTGCAAACGCTTATAAACGCGATTTGCAGCATTTACAAGCGTTTTTCGTTTGAACGCTGATAAAAGCGACTGCTGAACGCAAGTTTTCTGTGACCAAAAAAACGACTGTAAACTTAAATGCCTGTAAAGGACGATGTGTACATGGACACATAGGAGAACATTAGGGAGAGTTCAGGGGCTGCTGAAAAAAAGGCTGAACATCCTCCTAAATGTGAGTTTATCAGCTGCAGTGTACATGAGCCTTTAGATTTACCTTCCACTATGTAGTGCAGGGGCCTGCCTAATTAGATACAATTGAAAGTGTTGTTTAGGTTTGACCTCATATTATATGGATTTTGGTAAATCTAAAGCAAAAATCTCAGGAAATTACGTGGCCACCTTCACCTTCTCCTAGCGCAGAGTTATCTGACACTCTAAAAACAATGCACACCCCATGTGGCTGATTTCTCAGCATTCAATAAGGAAAGCTGTGTTGTGGCGTCTTTACCCTGCCTCGGTTGGCTAGCCTACAAATCTTAAGTATTTTGCAGTAACGACTGTAATAATAATAATAATTGCAGATATGCGCTCACTGAAAATACACTATACTTCCTCTTTTATGAAAGCTGTTTATATTATAGGATCCACTTACTGAAAACTAAATCCTTGCCTTCAACAACTGTTTACTTTTAGATTATTAATCTATATTTAAATTTGTACAAGGAAGAAAAATGTGTACAAGGAAGAAAAAGAAGCCATCCAGTTTATTAGCCTGCTTATATTTGAAGACTGTTGTGAGGAAATTTGGCATAATGCAACACCTAGTGTGGATGACGTACAATGTTATTACCATGAAGCAACCTTTTACCTGGCATGTCATTTAATCAATGACCTTTACATTCACAACTCCTCATATTCCAGACTAATTTGTTTATTTGAAGTACACTCAAAAAAATTAAGATTTGCTATTTTAGAAAGATCATCTGTTAATTGTGCCAAAGTTTTACTTTGAAAGATTAGGTTTTTGTTTCGAATTTCTAAAAAACAGTAACGTGTTTCCTTTTGCCTGGGTACTCCTGTGCCTTGAGCCTTGACGTTGTACACACTATATCCATCAGAATGTCACCTACCCTCCTCACCTTCAGGCGCACCCTGAAAACCCTCCTCTTCAGAGAAGCCTACCCCAACCTCACCTAACACCCGACCTCACCTAACAACTAACCTCACCTAACAACTAACCTCCTCCACTCCACCCACCACTCCATCCCCCAGCCATTTCCTCCTGTGCCACCTTTCCCTCCCTCCTAGATTGTAAGCTCGAAAGAGCAGGGCCCTCGAACCCCTCGTGTATTGTATTGTTACTGTCTTCTCTCATGTTATGTCCCCCTTGCTACTGTACAGCGCTGAGCATACCCTTTGGTGCTATATAAATACTGTATAATAATAATAATGATAATATATTGCCAAAAGTGTTGGGGTGCTTGCCTTTACACGCACATGAACTTTAATGGCATCCCAGTCTTAGTCCATAGGCTTCAATAATGATGGAGTGAGCATGCTCCGAACGCGCACCATCTTGGAAACACGGTCCAAGTGGTGACCTCATCCTTGTGAGCCTCCCTGCACCCCTCTGGTACTTCCCGAGCCCTGGACACCACCGGAGCAGCGGGAAAACACCAAGAGCACGGCCAAAGGACCTGATGCTCCCACTGGATCTCCATAACTTGAGATGCCTACCTGTTACCTACCTATATGAGTGCTGTTTTACCATTAAATCTGCTTGATTTTAACCGTCTACACTTAGAGTGGCGCTGTTATCTCTCTTCTCTACCTGCATTAGGAGTATCTACAAGCTCTTACAGCCGGCTGCCTCCTCAGACAAGTCCATACTACTACAAGCCCCCCACTACAGATGGACTTGGACACCACCTCCACATGGACCTTCTACTAACCCCCATTGCTGATGGTCCATCCCCAAAACGCACACAGGGTAGATGCGTCTTAGCGCTCCCTCCCCCCACTCATCTGTTAATTGTTTTACTTTGAAAGATTAAGTTTTTGTTTCAAATTTCTAAAAAAACAGCCAGCTGCCTCCTCAGACAAGTCCGTACTACTACAAGCCCCCCACACCACAGATGGACTTGGACACCACCTCCACATGGACCTTCTACTAACCCCCATTGCTGATGGTCCATCCCCCAAACGCACACAGGGTAGATGCGTCTTAGCGCTCCCTCCCCCCACTCATCTGTTAATTGTTTTACTTTGAAAGATTACGTTTTTGTTTTGAATTTCTAAAAAACAGCCAGCTGCCTCCTCAGACAAGTCCGTACTACTACAAGCCCCCCCACCACAGATGGACTTGGACACCACCTCCACATGGACCTTCTACTAACCCCCATTGCTGATGGTCCATCCCCAAACGCACACAGGGTAGATGCGTCTTAGCGCTCCCTCCCCCCACTCATCTGTTAATTGTTTTACTTTGAAAGATTACGTTTTTGTTTTGAATTTCTAAAAAACAGCAACATGTTTCCTTTGCTTGGGTACTCCTGTGCCTTGAGCCTTGACGTTGTATACACTATAGTGCCAAAAGTATTGGGTTGCCGGCCTTTACACACACATGAACTTTAATGGCATCCCAGTCTTGGTATGTAGGGTTCAATAATGAGT